TGCTCAGCCTGGTCTTGCAAAGTGAGCCAAACCATGAGGAGGTCTGTGAATACTTGTAGGACAAAGGTTGAGCAACTGGTAACCTTCTTCCATGTCAGGTGCAGAAATCCAAAATGGCTGCTACATCTGGTGCAGAAAAGGAAGCAGCTAGTGGTTTCATGAGGCTTCATTCTGGCTGCCTGGAGTCAGGGTTCCTCCTTAGACAAACATTAGTCACAGATATGTTCTTTGCCAATGTTCTTTTTGCTTCCAAGTGCAATTCACCCAGAATGGATCTCTAAGCATGCACAGTGTCTTTATGGGGCAAATATATGATCTGGCATTTGGGGCATAGACTGCAAGTACACTTTAAAGTCAGTTTCTTGGCCAAGTAAACTTTCTCAATCAAGTAAACTTAAGCAGTTTGCTTTCTGTGAAATGGGCATTGAAGTCAAAAAAAGGGGGGTGGTTAAAATGTGCTTTTGTGGAGCCTAAAAGCCCTCTCTGATTGTATTTAGGGTTATGGATGAGTTCCTTTTATTTTAGCCTCACTAGCTTATCATCAGAGAAAGTGGTGTTTTGTGATGGGCCATGCCCTCCACAGCAACTATTTTGTGAATAGCTCAATGGATGTTCTGCATGGAGAAGGGCAAAAGGTTTTGTTCCTGGCATGTCCAGGTAGGGCAGGAATAACAACTGCCTGACATTCTGGAAAGATGCTGTCCATCTGCTTTGGTCTTATTCAGTATAGGGAGCATTTCTCTGTTCCCATCAGAGCAATTATTTTAATATGAGCATCTATAAAACTCCATCAACATTCCAAATGCCCAGTGACTTCAAATGGTCTAGAATTTCTGATCCTTTTTCTTTACAACATGGATAATACCATCATTGGGAAGTGGGCAAGGATTTTCCTACTTCTATAACATATAGGGAGTCTTCTAGTTTAATCAATCTGAAAGATATATTTACTGGAGATGTCTTCAAAGCCTTTGTTAGTTTCATTGTGGGGAGAAATTTAATAGACCATTTTGATCTATAATATAGAGGAAATGGACTAATGTTCTGCTTGTTGTACAAGACCCAGCTCCATGCAAGGGCATGTAATTAAACAACATTCAGAGTCTATCATAATGGACAAGTCTATCATTGCTCTACTATTTTTTTCACCAACAGTTTAAGCAAACTATTTAATTGTACTGACTGTTATTAATGCTTTCAGGTAAAGTTGCACAGAGTTGAATTAGAGACCCACATGAGCTTTCTGTGGATCAAATGCTGTTCAATAGTTTCATTAACAGCTTGGACAATGCAGCAGAAAGCATGCTAATCAAATTCATGAGTAACATATCATTGGGAACGAGCACCAATACATTGGAGGATAGGTTCAGCCTAGATTCCTCATTTGATGAATTAGAAAAGTAGTCTGAAAAGTTGGAAATCAATGCACTGAAATCCAATATACCAAAACAATTCACATAAGAGCAAATAATTAAATACACAAATGGAGAGTGTAGCTGGCTGACAGCAGCTAATACAGATGACAAGCAACAGAAGGGATTTTTTATTAATATTATCCTCTACTCAATAAAATGCAGTACCATAGTATTTTTATATTCATTTTCAGTAGAAAGGTCATTGCAAGAGTTTCCAAATCATAGTATTTGCTCTTTGTTTCTCTTGGGCTATTGACATACATGCTGTTCTATGGATTGAGCTTCCCCTGCAACTTCATGGCATAATTTCCCCTCTTCTGCAACGTGGTTCAGTGATTACAGTGCATGGCCATACTCTTTTGCTGGAGGAAATGTGTCTTGCTTTATGCGCTTTGCCCTACCATCTGTCAACAATGCTAGTTTCTTGTCTTCTGACATTCTGTTTTCTCCAGATGCAGACTCTCTAAACAGATATTATTTATTCCATCATTAATTTAGACCCTTGATCTAGATTAAGACTCTTACAAAGGGATAAGGAGATTTTAGGTAATCCAGAACAGACCTCCCCCAACTTTGCTACAATTGCTCCTGCAGAGACACATCTATTTTTCTATAAAATTGCAGGTATAAGCCTCTAGATCTAGATGAGAGCCATTGCAGAGGATGTGGGTAAAAGCCATCATATGTTCATGCTAAGGTTCTGAGCTGATGCCTGATTTATTATTTATTTAAAACTTGTGTATACCATCCCATCATAGATGTCTCAGGATGGTTCACAATAACAATAAAATAATGTAAAACTAAAAGTAAAAGTTGTAGTAGTAGCACAGCATCCAATATTAAATATCGTCATGAGCTGGACTCCACTAGTGACCCAGAGGCTTCTGGGGAGATACCAATGTCACCGTCTGGTCCAAAATTGATGGATGAGTTTCAGTTACTGCAGCCTGATGATGTGGACAAGGTGCTTGGACGAGTACGTCCCACCACTTGCCTATTGGACCCTTGCCCATCTTGGCTAATTAACAACGCCAAGCACGGGATAGGGACCTGGATCTTGGAAGTGGTTAACGCCTCTCTGAGGGATGGCCAGGTACCTGCCCCTTTGAAGGAGGCAATAGTCTGACCTGTCCTGAAGAAGGCATCACTGGATCCAGAGATGGCCACTAATTATAGACCAGTGGCCAACATCCCATTTTTGGGCAAGGTGTTGGAGCGGGTGGTGGCAGGACAACTCCAAGCACTCTTGGATGAAACTGACTATCTGGACCCATTTCAGTCTGGCTTCAGACCCGGGCATGGTACTGAATCTGCCTTGGTCGCCCTGTACAATGACCTGGGCAGGGAGAAAGACAGGGGGAGTGCGTCCCTGTTGGTTCTCCTGGACCTCTCAGCAGCTTTTGATACCATCGACCATGGTATCCTTCTGGATAGGCTAGCGGGATTGGGGGTTGGAGGCACTGCTTTTCAGTGGTTCCACTCCTATCTCAATGGCCGATTCCAGAAGGTGATGCTGGGGAACTATGGCTCTGCACCATGGTAGTTATGCCATGGAATACCACAGGGATCCATTTTGTCCCCTTTGCTATTTAAAATCTACATGAAACCTCTGGGAGAGGTCATCAGGAGGTGTGGGCTGTGGAATCATCAGTACGCTGATGATACCCAGCTCTACCTCTCATTTTCCACCAATCCAGGTGAGGCAGTGGCTGTACTGAACCGATGCCTGGCCAAGGTAATGGGCTGAATGAGGGCCAATAAACTGAAGCTCAATCCAGACAAGATGGAGTTCCTGTTGGTTGGCAGATCGGGCTTTGGGGAAGGGGACCTTGACCTAGTCCTGAATGGGGTTGCACTCCCTCTTAGGAACAAGGTCTGCAGCTTGGGAGTGCTCCTCGACCCAGAGCTTTCACTGGAAGCTCAGGTGACAGTGGTGGCGAGGAGCGCTTTCTTTCAGCTTTGGCTGATCCATCAGCTGTGTCCCTACCTGGAGAACGACTGCCTGGTGACAGTGACACACGTGTTGGTGACTTCCTGACTAGACTTCTGTAACATGCTCTACGTGGGGCTGCCCTTGAAGATGGTCTGCATACTTGGTTCAAAATAGAGCTGCCAGGCTGCTGATGGGAACTGGGCGTTATGTTCACATATGTTCACATTGAAGTTCGGGCCCAATTCAAGGTGTTGGTTATTACCTATAAAGCCCTTAATGTCTTGGGTCCTGGTTACCTAAAGGAGCGCTTACGTCCATATATGCCCGCCCGCCCACCCCTTGAGATCAGTGGGAGAGGCCCTTCTTCAGGAACCCTTCATGAAGGATATTAGGAGGGTAAGTACCCAGTTGAGGGCTTTCTCTGTGGTGGCACCCAATCTATAGAATCTATGGAATGCGCTCCCCAGAGAGGTCCGCCTGGCGCCGTCGTTATTTGTTTTTCAGTTCCAGGCCAAAACCTTTTTATTTAAATATCATTTTAATTGTTAATATTATTTATTGATTTTACATCTTTGGCCAGGACATCTCCAATTATATTGTTTTTATATTGTTGTTATTTATTGTTGTGAGCCACCCTGAGGCTTCAGTGAATGAGGCAGCATAGAAGCTTCCTAAATAAATAAATATAAACCACAGATTAAGATAAATTAACATTTAAAATAGTGGGAAAATAAAAACATTTTCACCTGGTGCCAAAAGAAAAGAAGCGTTGGTGTCAGGAGATCCTCTCTGGGGAGCATGTTGCACAGTTGGGGCACCACTGCAAAGAAGGTCCTCTTCTGTGTAGCCACCCTCCTAATCTCTGTCAAGGAGAACTCCCAAAGAAGGACCTCTGCCTTACATCTCAAGGGCTGGGAGAGCACACAGGGAAAAAGGACACATAGGGAAGATGGCCCTGAATGAGAGACAGCTGGACAGTTTCACAACAGAAGAGTGATTTGGTTGAGTGATGCTTTGTTCTGTGACTGGGCTACAGCAACATGACTATATGCAAGTAACTTAGAAATAGAATATTAATAAACAGATTGAATGCGATTGTTGATTTTTATAAATAATTCTCAATTTTAATCCCAGTTTAATCCCGGTTTTAGTCCCAGTTTTAATCCCAATGTCCTCTGCAAAATAGAGAATCATGGATTTAAATCATATTACATAGCATTTTCATTCAATGAGGGTGCTGTAATTTCTAGGCCAGGGGTCTCAAACTCGTGGCCCACAGGCCAATAGCTGGGATGGGCGGGGCACGGGGGAGGCGCCCTGCAGCCTGGGCCGGCCACGGGATGAGCGGCCCACCACCACCGCGGTGGTGGAATACTTGATGCGGCCCAGCCTCACCCAGACTCTACCTCCAGTGGCCCCCAGGTAAGTGAGTTTGAGACCCCTGGTCTAGGCAAACCTTGAGTCAGTTTTTAAAAATAGTGACTATGGGTTGATCAGAAAATCAGATGCTCTTTACAGACCTGCTCTATCTATGCTGCATTAAGAATATTCAGGCTAGCTGCAAAGTCCCAACCAGACCGATCCATACTGGCATGCCTGGCATCATATCAACGCTTCTGTGGGTGCAAATGGAAGTACATCTTTGTGCTTTGGGTGCTGCGTTCAGAAGAACTTCCAGTGGATGTGTGTGTACATGGTTAATGTTCCTCTCCACTAAAATCTTTAGTAAAAGGTGAAAGATTTATACAATCTGAAGAGAAACCAGAGTATACGTACACAGTTAATGTTGAAGGTTTTTCTTTACAATGCCTCTGTACACTACTGACCCAGAGGCATGATCTGGTCACAGTTAATCACTTTGAAAGTCCCATTAATTTGATGAGAGAGATCTGGGTTACAACCTGATGCTTGCTTACATGGGAGTAGGACCAAATGAATGGGATATATGTTTGAGTAGACATGAATGAGGTTTACACTTGCTGTTAAGCATGTGTCTCATCATTCAAACTGAAGGGAATCCAACATGTTCAGCTTTAAATCCAGCAATTAAATGGTTCACAAATTAATGAGAGGTTCCTATAGTGAATGACCTGTCTTTTTAATCAATAAGCATCCTACTGCTTCCAAACTTTGTCCCAGAAATGGTTTTGTTTAAATGGCTGCTCTAATGCACAGGCCTATAATTTGTAAAAATCCTTTGGGGTCTCTGTGCCATATAATGACATCTCATTATTAAATAAAATGTGCCATCTTGTAAATTAATTTCTAATAGCACATTTACTTCATGTACCATTGTTAAAACTAATGTGGTATTTTCAACAAATTCTGGTTTTAAGTAAATAATTATTGGAGATAAAGTAATTTATTAAATTAAGTAAGTTTTTATTAGGCCTGATTTAGATGTCAAGCCATTTTTATTCTAGGAAGTCTGTAGTAAAGTAATTACATGATTAGCAATTCATTTGTCACCCCTGTAAGTAATGATATTATTCGTAGCAAATTTAAAAGGATTAGGGTCTTTTTTTTTAATTGAGATACTAGGTCTTCTTGAGTAATAGTAATAATATATAATCCATAAATGCTGTGTAACTTTTTCTCCAATTTTTGCTCACAGAGAACAGAAGCCAATTTAAACAACTCAGTTTGATTCAGGAATTTCCCACCTTTTGAAGTAAGACAGATACTTGTACAGAATGGAAGAACTGTTCTTAAATGAACTAAATTATACCTTAGAACAGGAAGGGAACATTAATGGTGGCTATAGATACACCAGGGAACTAGAATTGGTACAGGTTTTGCTGCTTTTGGTCCCTTGCTCTTCACAAACACCACATTTACACCTAGTTCTGTTGCCAGGTTTTTGATGGCCCTTAGATGGGTCCTCCCCCAGTCAGTCCACTTTCTCTTCTGCCTTGTCACCAGGTGGTATTTCTCCTCATCCTTTTTCTTAGATGCTTGCTTGACAGACAAAGAGCAAGTAGGGAAGGGCACCTGTTGCTGCTCCTTGTCAACACCTCTGTTGTTTTGGCAAGAGTGAGAGGCAGGTGATCAAGTATGTAGCAAAGTTGAACTGGAGAAGCAACTCCAAGGAGCTCTCATCATTGGTCTACTGCTAGGGTATGGGCCCTTGGCAGACTCCCAAGCATCTTTTCACAAGACTTTATTGTTACATATCTCTGCATTCACCCAGAATTCTTTTTTGCTCCAGCCTTAAAATATTATTGTTATGAAAAACTTGCATCATTAAAGAGACATGCTCCTAGAACTAAGTTTAAAACACTTGAGAAATACATTTGGTTTGTAATTATTTTAGGGTTTGTATTTAGTCTGTGATCTGATATCACATTTCAGTTATGTAAATGCTGCTTAAGAATCTGATGTAAACAGTGTAAAACCATGTCCAACAGTGGAATCTTCTGTTTAAAAACACTTTGTATTAATATCAGAAATGTTGTAAACTTAATTTCCATGGTAACCGATGCCATTAGATATATTACTTGCTAATCCATGATCCAATCCAGCCAAGTACAGAAATTGCATGTCATAAAATCCTTAAGAATGTATCTGCCTCATGCTGTTTGTCCTTTTTCTGAATAGAAACATTTGATATGTTGGATCCTATTTGAGAGTGGAGCTGAGTGATTCCCCTCTTTCTAAGTAGACTTGTAGAGCCTTTCAAGAAGAAAAATGGTAGTCATACTCATTTTGGGGGAGATGTATTTTTCAGTGCTTTCTACTTTTGCTGGTGGCCCCCACCCATTTTTCCTTTGACTAGACTCAGCCCATTTCCCCAAAATTAAATTTAGGTCTTTTGTTCAAAGAAGTTTGCCACTCGCAACTTTCAAAGATAGTAAGAGAAGGGGAACACTTTTGCTGAGATCCTGAACTTGTGGTAGGTGATGTTCAAGATCTTTAGAAATCTCCAAGCATTGTCTTGCCACTCATCTCATGCCTGGTTCATGTTTGCTTTTGCAATTGCTGCTCACTTTGCACAAATGGGAAACTTGCGCAAATCAAGGAGGGATCAACTCAACTGAGGGAATTTGTGAAAATCTCTCAAAATTTGCATAGATTCCCTGAAATTTACCCACTTTCCCTGATTTTTACAAATTTCCTTCACAAGGCGAAGTGGAGCTGATCAAATTATTGAGGGAATAGGCACAAACTCTTCTGAATGAAACAAGGACAACCATTTATTCAACAATCTGCAAATCTTTTCAGTGGACATTCACTCTTGTTCAGGCATGAATGAAACATGCTGGCAAACAAAAATGGAATTTCCATGCATTCTAATCCTGAACAGCTTGAGAGCACTGGGATAGAGGGAACAAAAGTCCGACTTGACACAAGGCAATTTTTACCAATCTGACCTGGTGCCGCTGCTGAGAAGGCCCTGCTCATTGTTGGTCTCCACAGCTCCCTTTGAAGGCGGCACTTGGAGGAAAGACTCAGGTAGTGCCAGGCTAGATTGAAGTTGGGGGAGGCATTTCATCAAGTATTGCAGTCCCATGTGAGGTTTGATGGGTCAAAACCAGCACCTTGAATCTGGCCTGGAAGAATATAAACAAGCAATGCAAAATGGCAAGGATGTTCAGAACTTCTAGTCCTACTGCCTGTCTAGCTGCCCCATTTTGCTCAAGCTGCAGCTTCTGAAGTCTTCACGAGCAGCCCCACTTGGAGTGAATTTAGCAAACTAATTTAGAGATTCCCAGAGCATAGATTACTGAAACCAAGCTATCCTCAAAAGGGCACATTCAAACACCAGTGATGACCCTCCACCCAGTGATGCAAATTGCCCCAAAGCAATCCTTCTGTTTGGTAGGGTAGGATCTGGAAAAAGAAGGGTGTTCATTCCTCTTGAAACTCCTAATGGCACAGCACAAATGTCTTGCATCAGCTGCCTTCTCTTTCCTTGTAAATAAATTGCATTTATCATTACTTGCTCTTATTCTCTTCAGGCTTCCAAGGTGCTGAAAGCTCCTGTTAAACGGCTTGCCCAAAAGAAAACACATTTTTGTATTTGCATAATATTTTCATAGACATTGAGCTCAACCTGTGCCTGGAGGGAGTCCAGGATGTTTCCTGCATATTTTATATTATCTTCTGCAATTTCTGCTAAGGCTCTAAATTGCAGAACAGATAAGGGAAATATATAGGCTACATATGGCTATTTTCACCAAATGTGTGGCTTGGTTGGATCCAGGCTGTATCTGGGGTAATTCCATTCACTCTCTCTAACACCCCATGGAAAACTCAGAAATAGTTCCATTTAAAAATCATTCTGCTGCCATCTCATAAGCCTTTTGCTTTGCTCTTTTCCTCATTCTTCATTAGGAAGGACATCTGCATGAAAACACAATGCTTTTATCTTGGGAGTTCATCTGTCTCTGCTGATTATGATCCTCCCTCCCTTCTAAAGTCATTATCTTGATTGCATTACAATTGCAGCCACACCATCGAGGCCCAAGCTGTGCTCCCCTCCCCGCTTCTTTTTGTCAAAAAGCACTTCTTCTGCTAATCAGAGGTGGGTATGGTCAGTATCCAGATGGGAAGTCTCTAGACAAAAATAAAAAATCCCAGAAACCCCAAAATCATTTAGTATCTGCGGCTAAGAAGTTCTGGGGACCTTTCTGATATCAGGCCTACAGGATTTTGCTCTTAGGCAAGGCAACTAAATCATTCAGCGGCATATTGATGATACCACCTGCTTACTCCCAGCAGTTGTTATGAAGCATTTTATTTTGGCAGGAACACTACTGAGAACTTTCTACTTGTGGGTCTGGAAAGAACATGACACAAAGTCCTGACAAACACAGGAGCAAAGCCTGGGCAGATGTCCATAGCAGTGTTATTTATCCAGATAGAATACTATCAGGATAATCTATAGAACACTATGGATCTGCAGAAAGAGAAATACTCTATGGATTATTTTCAAAGTTATATTGCTTTGATTATGGACCCTGTAGGTGCTTTTGCACCCCATTCCTGGCATGCCAAAATGGAATAGATAGATAGAGGGGTACAGGGCTGGGGGTTGCAAATTCAGACTGCCTGGAGTTACAGTCCACCCCCTGCCATTTTGCAGGAGGTTATTTCCCTTCCTTAAAGTTCTGTGGTTCTCAGTGTTTGTGCCCCCCACCATTCTAAAAAGATAGAAGGCCTCCATTAAGCTTAGTTTTCACTAAGCTCCACTAAGCTTAGTTTTCACTAAGGTTGAATGTCATATGCAACAGTGACCAAAATCATCATCATTGTTGCCATCATCATCGTCATACTTCACAGAAGTATTGTTCATTATAATTTCTGTGTACTAAATATAAATGCAATGCTATGTATATACTATGAGCTAGCCTTAAATACAAAAATATTTTCATGGAACTGAGGCATATGTGAGTCGGTTACTTCTTGGAGCTCATTCCCACTTGAGGGTATGGACCTTGGTACAGGTGCTTCTGGAGTTAGCTGGAAGCCCAGCTGAGTTAGGAAAAATGCCCTTCTAAGATGATGGAGAAGAGCTTTGATTGAGTGCAAATCTCCTGATTTATTCAAGCTGCTTGGATTTATATTTAAGATAAGGAACTAGAGCTGAAGATAGAATTATATAAATAGAAAAATGTTGGTTTAGTTGAGAAGAGAGACACAGAACAAGTAGTCTACCAAAAATAATTCCCTTAACTTTGTCAACCATACTGCCAAATAAGTAAATATACATTTTCATCAATGGCTGGTTTGTTGGTTGGAAGATATAGAACTTCATGAAATGTGAGAGC